CCTTTTCTTCTTACATCAGTAAAATCTTTACATTTCATGGTTTGTAATATTTCTCCATTGGCTCATTCAAACACTGATTCTAGCATGAATGATGGGGCCCCATTGCTGCTCAGCCTTGCCTGACCCAAGGCTATGAGATTGCTCAGCAAGAGTACATGTAATGCTGCCCAGAAACAGTTTGTGTTTCCTTCCCTGCTTACTTCAGATGCTGTTCCACCTGCAGATTTCACACCAAGCATTTAATTTCCTCTTCTTTCCCACACATCAGAATCCATAGCTCGGTCCAGTAAGCTGCTCAACTGGTGCCAGAGGCAAACAGAGGGCTACAGGAATGTTAATGTGACAGACCTCACCATGTCTTGGAAGAGCGGCCTGGCCCTTTGTGCCCTGATTCACAGATACAGGCCTGATCTTATGTGAGTATCTAAAGAAAATGCATCGAGAACACGGAGATTGACATTTCATAGATGGAAAGGTTTTTTGTTTGTTTTATCCTCCCCCAGTTTGTGAACTTGTACAAACCTTGCCAAGTATATCCCATTGTGGTTTGAAAGAAGGACTGAAACGGCTTCGTTTCAGAATGACTGGTCTGCCGTGTTTATGTGTTTGCTGGTTGCAAATGATGTTTACTGCCTGCTTGGGACCTTGTATATCATTGTAAATGAGGTGACAGCCACCAGTTAAAATACCCCCATGGGTCTCGTGGGGCTGAGCTGTCCTCATTTCCCCCTCTCTTCTCCCACACACAAGCATACATGAACGCTCTGCTCACCCTCACATACAATATAAATAACGCAATCTCCATCCACAATGCCTAATGTGGTTTGCTATCCTCTGGAGACTACATGGCAATTAACATTATAAGCTATTAGAGCGTTTCTCCTGCCCGACCTTTACAAAGTAGGGTAGCAGTTGTTCTTTGCTGCTACTCATGAGCCAGAATGATGAGTGAAGGAACCTTTGGAAAACTGCCGTCATGCGTGTTTGTGTAAATGATGGTTAAGATAAATAATGGAGGTCCCACTCAGCGCTTGTTGTGATGTTGTAATGCATTTAAATGGATGCTGTTTGCAGCTGAGATGTATTGATGTGCCACGTTAATGGCATCTTCAGCTGCGGTAATGGGGACATTTAC